CCTAAAACGACACTCTTTGTGAAACAAAAATAAAACCTTAAAACGACACTCTTTATGAAACGGAGGGAGTATATGTTTATTTCATCATTTATGAATGAAAATATTGAGTTGATGATATGTCAAGTCATAGGTGGGGCAGAGTAGGGGACAATCTCACCTCTTCATTGTAAAATCATACCAGTTTCTCTATTATTTCCATTATTTTAAAATTATTGTCTCTTCCCATCTCTCAGTTTCTGTCCCTCAATTTTGCAAACCCTTGATCAAGTAAAATAACTATAAATAATTAATATTAAATTGTAAAAACAGCATGAATGCATACATCAAGTGGGTCAATCTGCTTTGAAATTTGACCAATCAATAAGTCTTAACAAAATAAAAAATAAAATAAAAAATCTCTTTTTATTTTGGTATCTTCGTTTTCTTTTCTTGGAATTTACCATTGATACTTTGATAGTTGTACGTTTAGTGTAGCAGAACAAAATATATAAATTGTCACACTCAATATATATATTATATGTATTTAAAATTCAGATCATGATAAATGTATTCTACTAACCGGTTTGAATTTTCGATTATCAAATTTTGTTACTTGTATATCATGTTATTTAGCATAAACGTGATAACTTGAAACTTTCAAAATATGTAACTATCCAAAAAAAAGCAAAAAAAAGTTTATGTGTGTGGTGGTGGTGTTATATAGTAACACTGAACTGGCCCATGCAAGTGAAAAAATGAAATAAATGTGTGTGTAAACTGTGCCGACAAATCAGAATGTAGCAGTATGATTGATAATGCATGGGAACTTTATTGACTCGTCTCTAAGAATAAGGAATTAAAGGTAAATAGTTAATCTCTTTATCTCCTATCTGATCTCAAAATTTACTCCACTCTTCTTCTAAATTCTAATATTACGTAGCTACTTCTGAGACTATTCCAAATTACATATTAATTTACCCTTCATTGCATGGGTTTTTGTATGAGATAATACATTTTGTTATGTTAATTGTCTCTCGAATCTTAAATAAATGGCATTTGGGAAAGCTAATTAATTAATACCTTCTAACTTTACATGAAAACATATATACAGTCAGTGTACCGGAAGAGTTGCAGTTTTAAGGATAATTTAACAAAACGACAACAAACAACACGTGGGTCTTTATACGTTCACACACGCAAATACTACATATGAAGCAGCCAGCAGGAGTACGTAAGATAAGATATATATATATATTTTTAAAAGCACTAATTAGACAATACAAATTCTAGATTACAAACCAATTAAATACGTTGATATTGTTCGTATACAAACATTATCATTGGTTAAATATATATATATTTTAAAGGCTTATATATATCTTAATTAAACTTATACTTCAATTGTTAATTCCTCTTAGCCGTTAACCACGCATGACATATTTCCTAAGTTCTTTGATTCTTCATTTTGAGATTTGAAAATGCAGCTTACTGATGATTATTTTCTTTCCTTAGCTTCAAACCATAACCATCCCACAAGTTTTGATCTCCATCTCCTTCAGGCAATGGAAAGCACTTTGTACTAGCCGCCATGACAATGCTGCGGCTCGGGTTTCCTTCCTTGGAGTTTGAAGGTGAATAACCTTCCTGGTGATGGCCTTGCTCATCATCTAGACTACAATCATTAATTCTAGTTTCTTGATTGTTGTATATCATCATATTCTCTTTGATTCTCGGATGATTCACACCGTGGTTTGACCATTTCTCCTTCCTTTTCTTATTCATTTGTTTTTTCTCCACCTTGCCCTTATTTTCTTCATCAGCATATTCATTTTCAACCATCATTTTATCGCTTCCGCTTCCGTTAATCCTCTCAATAGGGGAAGAAGAATCCGGCCTTATCAATGCTTTTCCCGTCAAGTACTGCAAGGCCTCGATCACCGCAACATCCCGAGCTTCCATCCTCTCCCTCTCCTTTGTCCAAAACAAACGTTCCTTATCGATCCTTGCCACTTCAATCCTTTTCCATTTCTCTTCTCTCATCATCCTTTGATTTTCTTTGTCTTCCACAGTCTTCATCAACTTCTCAAGCCAAAAATCCTGCTTCTCTATCAACCTCTCCATATGAACACCGATGAAGTCCTTAATCCTTTCCTTCCAGTTCATCTCCTCTCTTCTAGTAGATTCGTTTCCTTCAGAGGAGGAAGTTAGATCCAACTCAGAGGAGGAGTTGAAATTGTTAGAAATGCTAAGGCTTTGACTTTGAGTATTGGTCATCAAGGGCTTCTGATGATGAGGGACACTGTTATGAAGGTTCGAAGCGTGGAAACTATGAAGAGCATTGGTCATTATGAACTGCGAGTTGTTATAGCAAGAAACCGGGTCTTTGGCTTCACCGTAGATCGCTTCAAGCTGCCGGAAAAATCTATAGTTTTTACCATCTTGTCGCCGACCGGCTTTGCCTTCTTTTGTCTTTTTATAGTACTTGTAGAGATTCTCAAACTTCTCTCTACACTTCTTGCCACTCCTAGTGTATCCATGTTCCTCGGACATAATCCTAAAAATATGAGGAATACCAACAAAGGAATGAAAAATACATCACTTTCATGATTTCATCATTCATTCAAAATTTGCATAATAATGTACCACAATATTGAATTATGAATTTATGAGGGCTGCACTATTAGACCGTACTAAGTAGTTGGTGGCCCACCAAACTAAGACACCATATGTGTTAACTTACGGACCAAGATTGTTTGAAATTAAACTCACTTTGGACTAATAGATTCACAAGAACATCTTTATGATATATAGATAAGAAAGATATGTGTTCTACATATTTCGATGCACATTATATATACAAAAGAATAGGGAACATGTCTCAGAAGCCACGAAAGATATATAAAGCAGAGATTATCAAGGACAAAAAGTCAAACTAAGTCAAAGAAGAGATTATTTGGTGGTTTTACTCTTTTTGTTTCTTTAAAAGCACATGAAGAAATCTTAACAGAAACTCCTAATGTCTGGTCATTCACTCTCTCGACCAAAACAAAACTAGTACCACAGAAAAAGAGTGAACTGATCATCTGCCTATACTTTAAAGTATTTTTGTTTTTAACTAACTTGAAATTAAGAAAACCAAGGGGATGATGATGTCATGTTCTCCTTATTAATTCAAAAAGTAAAGAAATTAATTTGAACGTGAAAGGTCTAATCTTTAACAAAACAAGGAAAAGGAATTTTGGGAAAATAAAGCTGAAAAAAGAAATCAAGAAAGAGATATAAATAAAATTAGGGTAAAAAATTGAGACCTAGAAACTTCATCCCAGAGAGGACCCTTTTGATTGGCTTCTTTGAACTTGTGATCAAGACGCGATCTGACCTCCAACAACATCAACGTCTCTTGCCTCGGCCACCTCCCTGTTCCTCCGCCGTCCGTAAAGCCACTAAACCCACCAACACCACTTGTGTTCGCTACATTAGTGTTACTGTTGTTTCCAGCCACCGTAAGCCCTTGTATACCACGTGGCAAGAAACTTATCTCATGGTCGGTGAAATGAAGACGATGGTGCTGGTCCGGCGCTGAAACGAGGTTGAAGCCGAAGGGATCAGAGGGATGAGGAGATGGTTGTGCTATACCGTACTGTGGATGGTTTTGATGGTGATGATCCTCCATTTGGTTTGATTAGATAGAAGAGAAGAGTTCAAGTCCGAGAGTGTGATGGAAAAATAACGAAAAAGAAAAGCAAATGTTCCAACCTTTTTTTTTTTTATTTCCAACGATAGAAAAGGTTTACTACTGGAAATAAATACTAAACAATTAATTAACTCTTTTACCAAACAAAAAATTAATTAACAAAACCAAAACAGTATAAAATGTTGAATAGAAGAGAGCGATAGAGGCGGATCGTGTCGTCCATGTAAAAGGAAAGTTGAATTTAAGCTACAGTGACGATGGTCCCATGCATGACTGTATTATAAAATCTTCTGGGTATATAACTGATGTGTATTGTGTACATACATGTTTTCTTTAACTATATATTCACACGTTAAAAAAAAGGGGCTAGCTATAGTGAATGTTTACTTTGACTATGTTTTCAGTTTTCTTAGTGGAGTTTGAGATTACCTCAAACATATTTGCTAACTGGTTTTAATGGTGCAGTAGTCAAAATGTCAAATGCAACCATTCATGGGTGAACCAAGCACACAAAATATGACAAAATGATATTACTGTTTTACATTTGACTATAAAGTGAAACATTTTTTTTTATAGTTGTATATGTTTTTCTTTCATCTCTATATGGTGGAAATTTTGGCAAGTTGTTTATTTTATATTTTACAATTTACACAAATACTACTTCCACACTTGCGTCATACTTTATAAGACTGATAGTTACTTTAATGTATGTGGGGAAAATGTTATATGGATACCAAAAGTTTGATGATGTACTTGATTGTGCATCATAATGACCAAAAGACTTTCACCATCTATTTGATCATTTTAAACGATTTTTTTCTCTTATACTAACTATATATATATATATATATATATATATATATATATATATATATATATGTATATATCTGTTTTGATTCGCAATTTAGAAGTAGCCGTGTGACAGAGGGAATCAAAGAAGGAGTAGCCGCATGACAAAGAAGACTGACGAGATATATCCAAAAGCTCAAGACTCAAAAATTTAGAGACCATAAAAACAAGACGCTGATGCTAAGGGGAAATACCTGGTCAAGACTCAAGATGCTGAGTAAGCATTCACAAAACAAACATTGTTTCTTATTTGACGTTCAAGAACCAAGACGACGTTTTGTGATTTTTACTTCTCTCTAATACGGACCAACATCCTCATTTGGTTTAACGCGCCTTTAGGATGAAAATAGGTATTTGTTTTTGCAACTTAGGTTGAAGGTTCTAAAGTAAAAGAAACTTTAAGTTTCTTGTTATGAAAAAAAAAAGAAATTCATGAATAAGATTTCTTATATATATATAACTCGGATGATCTGGACCGAAGCCCAATTAATATCGAGGTCTACTAACTTATTGGGTACAAACACAACATTCGGAGGGAAGCCCAAAGCTAATTAGCTGATAAAGCATGTTTTGTAGTGGGACCAATCATAATTAGCAGTAGGATTTCCTACCTAATTAAGTCGAATGGATAACATTTTAGCTGAAGCGCCGAGCTAATTAGCCGATCCCGTGTTTCGCAGTAACCAATTAGGATAAGGATTTTTAGCCGATAAGCGTGTTTTGTAGCCGGACCGAGTAGGATAGGTTTGTTACTCTGGATTCTTTACCTTATTTGGATGCATATCTTGAGATTTTCTTTATATAGTTTTCCCTTTTAGTAGCTTCAAGCAAGCTTATGTCTAGCACACTCTCTAATACACTAGTACCTTTAACTTAGCTTTGTGTTCGCTCCCTTTCGACAGTTTGAGAGATGGATACTAGCATTGTAGCTGCAACGACCAATCCTAAGGTTTACATATATCCCTCTTTTGTATTTTTACTACATAATACAAAAAGTTGATATCTTGAAATTGTCTCAAAACCTTTGGTTAATTAATTTCCAGGGAAAATACTGTGCTCTTGCTGTTTGTTGGCTTCTTGGGATTGGATGCCTTTTAGCATGGAACAGTATGCTCACAATTGTGGATTATTACGCTTATTTGTTCCCCGTAAGTGCAAAATGTTGTTGCTTTTATGAAAATACGTATGTTGCTTTTATGTTTATAATCAACTTGTCACTTACCTCGTCTTGATGGTTTTGTTTTTAACTTCCTAGCGGTATCATCCATCGAATATCATTACCATAATTTATCAGTCATTTGCTATTGGAGCACTTAGTGTTCTTGTTCACAAAGAGGCAAGACTCAATACCCGACGTCGAAATTTGTTTGGATACAGTCTCTTTTCCCTTGGCTCTCTTGCTGTCCTAGTGGTGAGTTACATACTCTTTCAATGTTTTTATTTTTCTTGGATTCTTTCACTACAATCATAAGCTTTATGGTTTACATTTTCTCATTATGATATTCTTGCTGATATTAGTTTATCTTATAAATTGGTATGAGGCAGTTAGATTTAGCTACTTCGGGAAGAGGAGGGATTGGCTCTTTCATTGGAGTTTGTGTCATTAGTGCGGCCTTTGGTCTAGGGGATGCACATGTTCTCGGTGGAATGATTGGAGATCTTTCTATGATGACACCAAAGTTTCTTCAGGTTATATAATTTATATTCGTAATAAATTTAAAATAAATATAGTGCATATATATTTTTTGAATTATATATAATTAAAATTCGTAGTTAATATTAAACCAATCATTATCCAATATTCAACCCAAAATCTAGAAATTTTATTATATAATTAAAATTCATAATTTATATCATAGTTATTAGTTTAGTTCCATCACTATCTAACATTTTCAGAAAATAATAATAAAAAATTTTGAGTATATAATTTTTTTAATATAAACAGTTTAATTGTAAATTTTAAATTATATTTGTAAAAACTAACTACTCAAATTATTTTCTTTTCGTTTTCTGAATTTTTAGTTATTATTTAAGGACAAAAATATCATTTTGGAAAAAAAATAAGATACATCTCAAATTTTAAAAAATTATAGTATACATTACAAATTTCTAATTAAATTTAGGGTATACAATCCAATTATTTCTAACAGGAACCCCAATTGTTAAAGGGAGATTCTTATAAATACACCAAATTATATAAGAAATTTGAAAACTACACTAAGTGTTATAGTAATTTGAAAACTACTCTTTTTATATTTAAAATTTACCATAGTACTCTTTCTATTAATTTAAGTACTATTTAAATTAATAAATTAAAAATAATATAAAAAATTTAAATAACTAAAATTCGTTATTATTTATTAATAATAAAAATCAAAAACTTATTTACAATTTTGGAGTAATCATATATTATCTAAAATTTTGAATAAATCAAAAATAAAAAATATTATTGTTGATAATATTAGTAAGATTTGTAATTTACTTAAAATAAATAATTTCAAACTATATAACTTATAATAAATAAATAAAAAATTCTTCTTATTTTATGATAAATTTATTCATTCTATGTTGATTTATTGATAAATTTGATTTTATTGAACTTTCGACTTATTTTTTACTTTTGTTGACTTAATTTTCTTTTCTATTGACTTATTTTACAACACTCACTTATATTTTGACTAGTTGATTTATAAAATAGTCGATTTGTTGAACTACCGACTTATGTATTTTGTTCATTGATTTATAATTTTTGATGTCGACATGTTAATTCATGGTAGACTTAATTCATTCTATGTTGACTAATTAATAAGATCGATTTTTTGAACTGTCGACTTATATTTCATTTCGTTGACTAAATTTATTTCCTATCGACTTATTTTAAAACAGTCGACTTATATTTTGGTTGATTGATATTTGAAATAGTTGACTTTTTAAAACAAATGATTTATTTAATATTCCATCGATTTATTGATAAAGTAGATTTGTTGAACTGTCGAATTATATTTTATTTTTATCGACTTAATTTTTTTCTCTATTGACTTATATTAAAACAGCTCACTTGTATTTTGGTTAACGGATTTCTTACATTGTCGATTCTTTTGAACTATTGATTTGTTTTTTTTTGAATAGAGATAATTATTTTTAGTTATAATATTTAAATTAATAATTTATTTTGGAATTAAATTTAAATTATATAATTTATATTCATAATAAATTTAAAATAAATATAGTGCATATATATATATATATATTATATCTCAAAAATATTAACTATGAAAAAATCTAAAAAATATTTTTGAATTATATATAATTAAAATTCATAGTTAATATTAAACCAATCATTATCCAAAATATTTACTACATCAACCCAAAATCTTGATAATTTTGTTATATGATTAAAAGTCAAAATTTATATCATAATTATTAGTATAGTTTCATCATTATCTAACATTTTCACAAAAAAAAAAAAAAAAATTGAGCATATAATATTTTAATATGAACAGTTTAATTTTGAATTTTAAATAATATTTGTAAAAACTAACTAATCAAATTATTTTATTTTCATTTTCTGAATTTTTAGTTATTAATTAAGGACAAAAATGTCATTTTGAACAAAGGATAAGATACATTTCAAATTGTTAAAAATGATAGTATATATACATTTCAAATTTCCAATAAAATTTAGGGTATACAATCTAATTATTCTTGTTAAATTTGTAGAAAAAACTCCCAATCAATAAGTATTTTAGACAAATTTATTTTGTTTATGGTAAACGTAATTTGTGTTTGTTTTGGAGTTATACATTTGCACTTTACAAATATTTTTATGAAAAATTGGAAACATTTTTATTTGTTTAATTTAATATGTGATTTTATTGGCTCAAAATGCTAGTATTTTAACTTTTGTTAATGTCTTGGCCATCGTTTTTAGTCGTTTCTAGCTGGCTTAGCTGCTTCAGGAGCATTAACCTCCGGCCTGAGGCTGGTCACAAAAGCAGCATTCAAAAACTCCAGGGATGGCCTTCGCAAAGGAGCTAGTACGTTTTTATACCTATATTATTTAAATACAAGTTCATTATGTCAATGTTGACCTAATTATAACATTTTTTTGCTAATCTTTAATTTGCAGTTTTATTCTTTGCCGTGTCTGCGTCGTTTGAGTTGGTTTGCGTCCTGTTATATGCATTTGTATTTCCCAGGATTCCGATCGTGAAGTACTACCGGGGAGAGGCTATCCTCCAAGGAGCGGAAACTGTAGCGGCCGACCTTGCAGCTGGAGGAGGCACCCAAGTGGCACCAACGAACCAGGTACATCATTGTCATATTATGGGTGGATGAAAAACCTTAATCGAAAGAACCAAAATGTTTAAACCACCTATATTTGAATGCAGGACGTGGAAGCCCCACGATATGTTCGTCGGCTAAACAAAAGAGACTTGATGCTACTCTACTCAGATCTTGCAGTTACCTTGTTCTCGGTGTATGTACTGACGTTTAGCATTTTCCCTGGATTTCTATCGGAGGACACGGGAAAACACAGTTTAGGAGACTGGTAAGACCAAAATGTTAATTTACTTAATTATGACTATTATTTTTGGAATATTGGTAACTAACAAAAAACGGTTTAAAACAGGTATGCACTAGTGTTGATAGCAGTGTTCAACGTGTCGGATTTGGTTGGGAGATACGTTCCCGTGGTCAAGAAGTTGAAGATGAAGTCGAGGAGAGGTCTTTTGATAACATCATTGGGACGTCTCTTGTTGATTCCAGCTTTCAACATCACAGGCATATATGGAAGCCAAGGCTGGATGATTTCCTTGATGTCCGTTTTAGGATTTAGCAATGGATATTTGACTGTTTGTGTCATAACATCAGCCACACATGATTTATTGGTATTTCATTTCTCCCTTTATTTTTATTTTAATTTTCTTGAAGACAAAAATGGTGATAATAGTTTTTATAAATGATGAAAATTGGTTATAGGCACCGGAGCAAAATGCACTAGGAAACTTGTTGGTGTTCTTTATTTCTGGGGGGATGTTTGTAGGAGTCGCTTGTGATTGGCTTTGGTTAATTGGTAAAGATTGGTAAGTGTGTTGCCTATTGTTTGACCAAATAAATGTAATTTCTAAAGTCTCGAAAGATAAGTAGAGACCAAAATATGCACCTTTCATTTTAATCATGTAAGACATTTATATGATCTTTCAATAAAGTCCATTTGACATTATCTTTCGATAAGTCATTTGGTTAGTACTCCGTCTTTTATCAAAGTTTTAAAATTTCATATATTTCATGAGCTAACATATGTCCAATCCCTTTTCAACTATATTCTTAAAATGTTAAAATCTTTGGCAACTGGATTTTGTCCAACAGAGTTGAAGACTATACTGTGCAATTGCTCTATTTGGTTAACAGAATTTTGGCTATCAGACAACGATAATCATTAGAACTATGGGCCTGAATCAACAACAATAAACGTAATGGGTTTAACAAAATAATCAAATATAACAACTTAATAACCCGGCCCAGTCCAAACACATTATTTGTCGATCAAAATGTAACGGAAGATTTTAGATTTCCTTACCAATGTAGTTACGGAAATGCCCTTGATTCCTGAGATGTCCAAAATCCAAATCATGAGCCTGATAGAGAGAGACAAGCAAAAGTGTTATTCTTAGAAGAAATAAATTATAGTATTAATACTATACTATTATTCTTAGAAAAAAATGTGGTGCGATATGATAATTGATAACAGTAAGTGATATTGCATACCTCATCAGAGCAAAAGGAGTCCTTAACATTAAACAGAGTAATTTTTTTTTTTGTCAACCACACATTAATTAATAAAGAACTCATTGATTGGTTGTCCAATTAGGAGGATAAGTGTCTACAAAAGAAATTTCATAAAATAAAAATCTGGAAGAGCGGGCTAAGCAGTCCGCTTTAACATTACATAAACGGGGAATAAGAGAGAGCGAGAAGAAGGGGAAAGAGACACGGAGAAAACCAAACTCGTCTAGCAGATTGGAGAAAGCGGGCCATTCGTCAGGGGACTGTATCATCGAGACTAACTCCGAACAATCTGTTTCAAACGCCTGACAATCTATCCTTCTTGAAAGGATATTCTTCATAGCCCAAATTAAAGCTTCCATCTCCGAGTGAAGGGGGGAAGGACTCCTTCGTAGGCACATTGCACCGAACAAAATCGATTGATCATTTCCTTGAAAACAACACCATCCTAAGCCCATAGTTGGATCCGAAGTTTTCCAAGAGCCATCAAACCGACATCTTATCGATAGAACTGGGCGTTCCAAAGTTTCCGTAATAGGACTAGTTTCGATCGGATCCACCTGAGCTTCTTCCCACATTAATTTTTCACTCAAAGCAAGATTTAAAATATCTGTGGGTTCACATTGTAATCCCTTGAATACCTTTTTATTCTTATCTTTCCATATGAACCACAAAATCCAAGCATAACTATATGTTTTCTCTCCCCTTTCTAGAGTAGATGGAAGTCTCCAATAAAGATAATCTAGATTTGAGAATTCCGAGGTTAGAGGAAAACTACCTGATACCATAGGTATATCGGATAAGTCCCATACTTTCTTAGAATGAGTGCACTCAAATAAAGCATGATTAATTGTTTCCTCTGCCAACTCACACCTTTTACAAAGAATATCACATCGAACCCCTCGATGTGCTAATTTTGAATTAACTGCTAAGGATCCCGAAGCAATTTGCCATAAGAAATGTTATATTTTTGGAGGGGCTTTGACTTTCCAAGCTTGTGCTTGTAGAGCCTTATAATTTGGGCCCCATTCGATCGCTTCTATCATCTCTTTAGCAACCCGATAGCCTGATTTTACTGTATATCTACCTGATTTTGTATGATGCCAGATAAGCCTATCTGGCTTAGAAACTCGGCTAATAGTCAATCCCCTAATAAGCTGAATATCTACTGGATCCATATATTCTTGTAAAATGGGAAGGTGCCATTCTTTAGTAACCGGATTAATTAAATGGTTAACCATCAAACTTGGAAGTAATAAATTTCCTCTCCCATTTGCAGGCCTCGGGTTAACATCAGGAATCCAAGGATCTCGCCATACCGATATATTGTAACCTGAACCTAATGACCATCTAGCTCCCACTTCAACTAATCTTTTAGTTGAAAAAATACTCTTCCATCCAAATGATGGAGAATTTGGTTTTTTTGCCTGTAAAGGATGAATATTCCTGAAATATCTGCCTTTTAGCACTCGAGCAACTAAAGAATTCGGATATTGAATTAAACGCCAGTACTGTTTAGCCAACATGGCATCATTAAAAATGTCTAGGGAATGAAAACCTAAGCCTCCATCTTCTTTATCCTTACACATTTTCTCCCATGCTATCCAATGAATCCCACGATCTCGCCCATTGGAACTCCACCAATAATTAGAAATAGCACTTGTTAACTTAGAAGTTAAATCTTGAGGGAGTTTAAAACAAGACATAACATAGGTTGGGAGTGCCAAAGCCACTGATTTGATCATTGTCTCTTTCCCACCTTTCGACAAAAATTTTGCTGACCAGCCATTAATCCGTTCATTAAGTCTTTCCCGGACATAATTAAAGATTTTACTTTTTGAGCCTCCTAAGCTCTCTGGTATACCCAAATATGTACCCATTCCACCTTCCTTAGTTATTCCAAGGATGTTTTTAAGTTGATCTCTTTTTTGGTTTGTACGCGCTTACCAAACATAACCGATGATTTACTGAGATTTATCTCTTGTCCTGAAGCTTTACCATAATTCCCAATAATATCCATCACCGTTTTGCATTGCTCTGAATCCGCTTTACAGAAAAAGAGACTATCATCCGCAAAGAGTAGATGTGAAATTGCTGGGCTTCTTTTCGCTATCTTAATTCCGGTCAGCTTTTTTTCTTTTTCCGCCTTGTTAATATTTGCAATCAGTACCTCCGTACATAAAATAAACAAATAAGGCGATAAAGGATCACCTTGCCGTAAACCTCTGCTAGGAATGATATTTCCTCTAGGTTCCCCATTCAATAAAACCTGGTACGAGACCGAGCTAACACTCCACATGATCCAAGAAACCCAATTAGAGTTGAATCCCAGCCGAGTCAAAACCGCCTCTAAAAAGTCCCATTCTATCCTATCATACGCTTTGCTCATATCTGTTTTAATTGCCAAAAAATCTGTTCTACACATTCTATTAGTCCGTAAGCCATGAAACATTTCCTGAGCTAGTAAGATGTTATCTGTTATAAGTCTCCCTGAAACGAAAGCCGATTGTGTTTCAGAAACTAGCCGAGGTAAAATGTGTTTAAGCCTGAAGCAAAGAATTTTTGAAATTATCTTGTAGCTCACATTGCAGAGACTTATTGGCCTAAACTCTGCCATCCTTTGTGGCCTTTCCGTCTTTGGAATTAGACAAATATTTGTTTCATTTATTCTCTTATCGAAAACTCCCGTCCGAAAAAAATCTCTAACCAAACCTACCAAATCTTCCTTTAAAGAATGCCAAAACCTTTGATAAAATAATGCTGTCATACCATCTGGACCTGGAGTCTTTTCTAGGATGCATAGAAAATAAAGCTTTCCTAACTTCTGTTTCGGTTACCTCCTTGGTTAGTTCCATGTTCATACTTTCCGTAATTATTGAAAGCACTTCATTAAACAGAGTAGTTTAGTTGAACAAAAAATTAAAAACAGAGTAATTTAAGCATACGACTTTAAAAAGGAAACTAGGTCGTATCATATCAGAGAATCAAACTTTGTTTTACATAATAGTTTTGTTTAGTAAATTTATCAAATTGTGTGTTCCCTTTGCTATTATAATATCTTTTTATCTAAACTAGTACTCTTTTTTTTTAGTTTATAGTTACTAGTTATTATTCATTATGGTGTAGCAGCTTATCAGTAATATAATATTCCTTCTATTTCATAATATAAATTGTTTTGGATTAAAAAAATTCACAATATAAGTTATTTTATTTATATTTTAATTATGTATTATTTTAATATTTTCTAATTATATAAATATATTATGTATTATTTTAATATAAATAAATTATGTATTATTTTATATAAATAAATTATGTATTATTTTAATATTTTGCCATTTTTTATGAAAGTGACACCAATTTATTTGGAGTGGACTTGGAATTTTATGCCACATGAATAATCATTGGAGATGCTAATCAAATGAAGTAAAGGCTGCACAAAATTAATGATTATTCTCATTTTCTGTTTATTTTTTTTGTTTCGTATACGATGATATCTATGTCTCCCATTGTAATAACCACATACATCATCATTGATCATTAATGTCTCATTGATGCACCCTCCCTAAAATAATGAACAAAACGTCTGGTTTTTAATCATACTATGATTTATATCGATATTTATTTCATATTTAAAAAATGTTGAGGAATGTATATAGTTAATGATAAACAGATAAAGGTTTGTCTTCTGGATATTTTTTTCTGAATTTCCTCTCTTATGAAACAATCATTTTTCTCTAACGGTCATTTTGGAATAAAACCAAATTCGGAAAAGGTCGACATCTGATCTCGTGATGCCATCTTTTTAAACTTAATGTACCGATCGATCATACGTCTAATACTCCCTCCGTTTCGTTTTAGTTGTCGTTTTAGGACTTAAATTTTGTTTCGTATTAGTTGTCGTTTTAGGTTTTCAATGCAAATGTTTGATAAAAATTCCAGTATTATTACTATTGTTTTAATGTTGTGGCCAATGAAATTTTTTATAAAATATATTAATAAAGGGTAAAACAGAAAATTTAATGTTTTTCTTAATTTGTGTGAAAAAACCTTAAACGACAACTAAAACGAAACGGAAGGAGTAGTAATCTAATTTATTTAGTCACACAATGGTCTCTTAATCTTTCTAACTTTTCCCATCAAGTTTCCAATGCACATGATATAAACAAATTCACACTAACATTTTGTACATTATGTGCTACAAATGTAAGAATGTTAGTTTTAAAGAGATATAAGTAAAAAATCAATTAAAAGGGCAATAAAGAGAGAAAAATGGTTCAGAGAAAAGAGAAAAAGAGGTGTTTAGTTACAAACCTGTCTCGATGAGTATTTTTTGAAGTTACTTCCTAAGAAAACCACATTACCCTTATAATTCTCCAAGAAACCCTAACAAATGATAATAGTAGTAGTAGTAATATAACACACGACGATTATAAAATATAAATTACATTCACCACCACCAAACCTAAACGTAGAGTTAAAACACTCAGAGAATGATCTCTGGCCCAAGAAGTTCTTGTACTGTCTTGGATTCAAAGTCAGTGTATAGAATCTATGTTCTTGCTTAGCTCTTCCAGCTTCTTCATTCTCATCTTTTCGCTTTCTCCCACCAACTGCGAATCATTGAAGGAATCGGAAACCCGTTAAGTCAAGAACACAAATCAAGTTAAGAACACATACCAAAGTGAAAATAATCGACATAGAACAGAGTGGACTGGTTTGATGAATATGTTCAGTTTACAGACAATATAAGTTAGAAAGTGGCAAGAACGATTAATGTAACTCGTACAAAGAGATGAAACTTAGATAGAGTTTGGAGGAACTGATTCCGCAAACTATCGAGAAGACTCACACATAGCTTTAAGTAAACACACAGACTGGCCGAAGAACTCAACATCAAAACCTACTAAACCATGAATCCGCAAGATCACGAATATGCCTAAAACTATCGGTATTTGATGCATGTCTCAGAACAGAGCTATGGGACAATAATTAGCTTAATGTGTTTATCCAGACAAGAAAGGGTAATGTGAAAAAATAACGACAACAAAAAAACAAAAATCAGAGAGAAAGCAGGACAATAATTAGACCAGTTAACTCAAATCATTCAAACTCAACGAAAAAAGATTTGAGCATTTGTTGTCTAACCTCCATTAGCCTGGTGATTAGCTGCACCTTCTCCCTGTTCTTTTCGTTGAATGCTTCAAGAGCTTCTTTGTACTCTCGTTCCTGCATGTTGTGTCAATAAACCAGCTTAGCATCTTAATCCTCAACCAGACATAATTTTGAATAAAGGTCAATGGATTTGATTATGTTTTGGTCTTACCTTTTTCTGAACTGTATGCCCCAATGGCTTTAATTCTTTGTTGACAGAATCAATCTTCTTCCTAACCAAAGCAACTTCTTTCCTCATGGGATCAGCTAAACCTTCAAGTTCCTGAAATCCAATTTAACCACTGAGCTTCTTAGTCATCAACATAAGAAGAAGCAAATGCTTATTTTCATAAGAAGTAAAGAGCTTTGATCCATAGAGCTAATCTTTATCAAGTAAATGGGATTTAAAATTTGTGCTATAAATGTAGAAACTTTCACTGTTTTGCAGCCCTTAAATTGGGGGAAAAACACTAAAATGAGAGACTAAGTCAAGATTCATGAACTTTGAAATCACCCAGAAGAAGCAAATGATTCTTTTCACAAAAACTTAATCCACTTAGCTTATTTTTAGCAAATGGGTTCCACTACAAAACTAGAAACTTTCACTGTTTTTTTCATGACCCAGGAATTGAAAAACCCTAGAAGAAAACCAAATCCAGGTTCTCTTGCTATTGATCACTTAAAATCCAAAACCCAACACTAAAGCCCCAAAATTTTCTCCCCAGATGGCACAAACCAAAGGAAAATATAAAAAAAATTTGTTCAATGCAATTGTCAGATCTTGAAAATTCCAACACTTGGGTCCTACAATTTCCCCTTAAACATGGATTAAATCCATAAACTACATAATATAAAAACCCCCCAAATGTTCAATTTTACATCCCAATCCAATTTTTCCATAACAAAAACCAAAATTGAAGCACAATTCTCCAAAAAAAGCAATCATTTTTTATAAGAAAGGATAAAAAAAATACCTCACGGATCAAAGCAAGACGCTTAGTCTCTTCTTCAACACGACCAAGCTGAGCTTGAACCCTTTCCCTAATCTCCATCTTCTTCTTCTCGATCTCTTCTTCTTTCGCTCTAAACGCAGATAACGCAGTCCTAGACATCTCCTCGTCTTCCTTCGACATTTGGCTGCTGAAACTCATACTTCCCGACAACTGAGCTCCCAATTGTCGGCTATGCACCGCCGGAGCCACCGTCGTCGGCTGCGACGTCTCTATTGCCTGCATCTCCTTCATCTTCACTGAAATCTCCTCTCTTTGACTCTCTCGTAATTGATCTCTCACTATTTCTCTCTCTCTCTCTCTCTCTCTCTCTCTCTCTGGGTCTAGATTCTTCTGTGGTAGAGAAAATAGCTAAGTGAGCTTTCTTTTTGAACCCAGAAATAGTGCTGTGATATGAACATTATATAAAGATAATTACTCATTTTCAGAAAAACAATTAAATGATATTTTAATTGTATAACGGGAACTTTTAATAAATAATTATAATATACTATTGAAACGTATATAAAAAAAATGAAAGTTATTAGGTGAAATTACCTAACTGCCACCAACAACCGATAAAAAGACACAGTGAGTGTTTGTCGAATTTGTTTTTTTATAAATTAAAAATAAAAGTAAGAAAAAGAAAATAAAAGGCGAGGAGAATCTGATTATTGTAACCGTTGGATCTCTTATTTATTCGATGAAGGAAGCGAAACGGGTGACCCGTAGAATCCGGTGACAGCTCGTTAACAACTCAGCTGTCGCGTCTAAACCGTAATTACCGAACCAAACTAAACCGGTAATTTAATTCTGGTTTTCTATTGGTCCGTTAATATTTACAAAATTATCGTAATTTGTTTCCCTCTGTTAATGACTTAAATGTATTCCGTTGATGGTCACACTATTGAGTTGTTTTTCATTTATTAGAACCACATTACATAATTGTTGACAAAGAAAGAAACTATGGTCCACGGTTATTATATTGAAGAGAAATTGAGAATTAACTTGCTTGCCTTTGGGATAAGACCAAATCTACAATGAATGATCTTCTAATAAAAGATATACATATGAGAATGTATCCAAATAGATTCCTTAGTATAAAGTTTAAACTATTTTACTAATTGTGATCCAATAGAAAAAAAAAAGAGAGGTAAATCAAATGTTTTTACGTGTATCTTAAGGACCGATAAAAGTGGCCAACTTAATATATTTTTGGTAATTTTAGAGGTAGCCAAGTAATGTTTCGCTAATTAATTTGTTATTCTCTTTCGATAAAAAAAAGTTATCAATAGGAAAAAGAGAGGAGAAACGTAAAAACGAAGGCAAAGAGCAGTAGCCCACTCAGCCAACGGCTTCAACTACGGGCCTTCGAAGCAAGAATCCTTCTTTTTTTTTCTTCACTTTTTTTTTCCTTTTTCTCTTAATGGAATTTACTTTTATTTCAATGTATACTATAAACTATTTTTCTAAGCTAGCCATCATATCAACTCGATATATAAAATATAAATAGTCACATTGTTTTAATAGTGGGGTTTTAGTTCTTGTCCTCATTAGGCAATTTGAAATTTGTTTGTCCCACAAATTAGTATACACAGAATTATAATTAGTTAGTAGATATTCCAATTATTAAGAATTAATGGATGAACTTTTGCAAGGTTTTGTTGTTTTAATTAGAGTTAGAAAGATAGCTTACCTACTAATTGACATAAAACCATATATATAATATATTGTTTCACAAGTCTATAATGTCCTATATAGTCTAGTAATTGAAATAGGTTTGAAGTGCGAGTTATAGTTAGTGTTATACAGTTTGGTTAATTGAGCTTGACCTGATAAAATTTTGTTTCTAAACTTGTTCGATGCAAAACCAAATCGTAGATTAGATGTACGATGAGGATTGAGTCGATCAAAAACATAGAAAGAGGGTGATCCTTACTTAGTCGACGTGTGCCTCTCTGCCACAAAGGACCCACTAAACCGGTGTTTGTGTTATCGCGTGCATCAGATTATCATTTGGAGCCCATACTTTTTCTTTAAATATTCTTTTATGGATCCCAACTTGTCCTTGTTTTCTAAGTAGAATATAGTATAAAAAACTAGAAAAATATGTTAATATTCGGAATATCAACGAAACAAGTGCAATTGATGATTTGATGTGTTTAAATGATGAGTTAATTACAAAAAAAGTATCAATACCGGAGTCCCCTTCCGAAATAGGCACTATATATTGTGACTTTCCAAATGCAGTACTTCTCTCTTCTAAAAAGACTATTTCGCCCTCCTCATCTATCGTCAGTCCTACTGTTCTTCCCGCTGTACTTCCCGCTCCTTCTTTAACCTAATCTTCCCACTTCCAGCGTCAATCTTTTGTAATTGCCATCTAACGCAATTAGTACATAACTCTTCCTCCTTCTTTCAATTGGAAACGCAGTCTGCGGCCCAGTTCTATCCATTCTCTCCCACTGTTACCGAACACAGTTCGCCACAATTCACGCCGGATGGTCACTACACGGAGTTCATCCCGTCGTAATCGTAGCTGGGGTTCCGTTCCACCGGCCGCCATGCGTTTGAAAAAAAATCGTCCTCCACCACTTCCGGAAATATGTTCTCGTAATCGGCGTTGACGCAGTCCTCGTAAACGGGTACCACTCTCTTCACTTGAAACCGAACCCCCAGCTTTATTGCCTCCGCCGGCAACTACTCCACAAATTATGCTTCGTAGGCCCACGGCTATGCACCCAGTTGCAGGTATTTCGCCCAGATAGATTGTTTCCCTCTTAATGCTAGGCTACTGTTTATACCACCTGTTTGATTTTCGCTTTTCCCCACCCTCCTAATCTGCTCAAAAGAACTCATCTCATGCCAGAAACAATTTTCCCCATCTCCCGACACAAAATTACTTTGATTTCTTTTTGCACTGCCTGTTTGATTTTCAATTTTGCCCACCACACTAATTGAAAGAAGAACGCATCTGTTGCCATAAATTCATATGTCAGTTTCCTCACATATGGTGCCTTTCTACTACGTATGTATCGGTTACGGTTTGAGTTATCTATTTCACTTTTGTGGTTGTTAGTCTTGATTTCTTCTACCCTTCCATTTACGGTATTGTCTGCTCGCCTGTACTGCAGGTTCACCATGTATAGGTAGATCAGTATCAGCCGAATTTGACACAAGTGTTGATAGTTATGTATCCTCCTCTGAAGGTTAGCGGGTTTTATATATTCCACTGTCCACGATTAGCTAATCAGCGTATTTTCCTGTCAACTGTTCACGGTTATGTTCATGAAATCTCTACTCGCAGCTCCTTCTGTTCGCGGAAGAAGTCTTACCGCATCTACTGATGCGGCTATATCTGCAAAAGGATCTCCTTCTTCTGAAGGTCAGACACGTGGTGATAATGTTGTTTGATGGTCACTTTATCTCCATTATTTACATCTCCTCTGTTGATACCTTGCTACACGCAGCTTCGATGAACAATTCTATCAGTCTTACCTTATCAACTGAAGGGGATTCTATAGGAAGTGGAGATGAACGGAGTGAAGCTGACACAAGTGCTGATGGATATGTTTCGTCGGGAAACGGTTAGAAAGTTTTTTTTTTTTCCTTGCTGTATCTACTTTTCATCAACTAACTATTCATGTTGTCTTCTTAATGTGTCTGCGCGAAGGTCCAACTTTGCATACCAGCAGTGTCAGCTCATATAATGATGATTCTGCAGCTACGAGTGGAGATAGCACATGTGCAGGTGCAACGAGTGTTGATAGAGTTGTCTCAGAGTCATCATCTGCAGGTCCAGAATTTCCATTTGCTATATCACTTATTAATTATGTTTTTGCTGGTTCTTATTCCCTTAACCTGCACTCAGATACCAATGTTGCCGCAACGCTGCTGCCAACTCGTGTCTTTGCCACTGATAGGTATCCAAGTGATGGCAGAGTTAATGCTTACTCTAAACTGCAGTACCTTGTCGATATTTTACAGATTTTGGATGGGACCCCTGAGTATGAGATGTTAATGCAGTCCCAATTCAGTTTCTTGTTCTCCCTACCAGTGCGCCAATGTTCGTTATCTGGTAAACTCCTGCATAATTTCCTGTCTCGGCAACTCATCACGGATAATTCCCATCAGCTTTGGTTTACATTTGGAGGGCAGCCTTTGCGATTTTCGTTACACGAGTTTGAACAACTAACAGGTCTCCGATGTGGCCCTTTTCCTGATAGGAAAACGATAGAAAAAAACCAAAGTGCTCCCCGCGGTTGTTGTTCTTATTTAGAAACCTTGCTTGGCCCTCATAAGAACTTCACTATTAAGCAGATTATCAAACTGTTGAAAGCAGATAGGGAGATGTTGGGCTGGCAGAAGCTGCGGCTTGTTCTAATTGTTATTGTCGAAGGTATTTTAATATGTGGGACACAACCTATTCGCCCCTCCGTCCCCATTGTGGAGATGGTTAGGAATTTAGAGTTCTTCTTTAGCTACCCCTGGGGCCGCCATTCATTTGAAAGGACCTTAAGGATGATAAAAGTTGGGAAAAAAGTTCGCCGGCAGTCTGACATTACAAAGAAATTAAAACAACGGTCTCTTGTCATGCATGGTTTTCCAGTAGCGATTCAGTTGTTCCTTTTCCAGTCCATTCCACAGCTGCTGCAGTTTGTACCTGGAGGTGAAGATATCCAGGATTTTTTAGTAAGGGGCATAGCCGTGCTTCCGAAGCTGAAGACATTTCATACAGATAACATCCTTGCAGTTGAAAATGATGCTTCGGTAAGTATGTCTGCCTACTTACTTATATCATTCCTGTTACTTTTTCAAATATGTTTTTCACTTGTTTTCAGCTTCGTGTTACCCGCATGTCTTCTCTGTCAACTATGGCATCTGTTTCCCGACTACGTGCTGACTTTCACGGAGACCGGAAGGTCACCAATTTAGAGAGTTTAATTGAAAGGGGCTATGCGTTTTCAAAGGCTGATTGGGTAGGTGGTGACGAATCGTTGCCACTTTTGTGTATTTGCGGGAAAAGGAAAACAAATGCTTGTACGTGTGGACCATCGCTGTCCACCAGTTGTAGAAGCCCAACTGGCGTTGAGAAGCCTGCCCACTCATCGGTGTCTTATGATGAAGTTGGTGCATTAAAGAACAAAGTGGCCAACCTAGAATTTGCTACTACTGCCAGCATTGCTCTTCTACAGAGTGAACTTACTCAGGTCCGATTCCTTCTTTTGGAAAAGAAGGAATCCAATTCCACCAATACTACTAGTACCTTAGGACGCCCTCAACCACTTGTCCCACCTGCTCCTCCCTATTACCAAGCAGGATATACATTAATCCCTCCCTTGCATGACCATCCATCTCCCCTTGTCCCACCCTCTGGCCTAACTGTCCACGGCCCACTGACACTAGCATCAGCTTCGCGGAAAAGCAAAAGGGGTTGTAGAGACGACGATGCTAATGTTGCTGTTGTTTCTGGGAATGTAAATGTTTTTGCCACGGTAAAAACTTACCATTCACTTACACATGTTTCAACATTCTTCCCACTCTCCTCTTATATAGATGTTTGTGTAGGTTGGCACGGGGGAGTTGTCTCAGATATCCAACCATCGTTTACACACGCATGCTGTCTACCCAACTCTGCTTCTCTTGTAAGCCTCCTGCTCTTTGTTACTTAGTTACTCCACGAGTTATGCACTTCCCCCCCCCCCCTCTTCACCCATCTGCCATAACCCATTTTCTCCTATCTCTGTTTTTCATTCCCTCCTCCTGCACCATATTATGTGCTTCCTTTACATGCTGCATCATATATGTCATTCTGCATTCTAATAATAATTGTCCATATCTTGACAGTACTACAATCCTTTTCCTGTTCTCCCTCCTACCATTGTTGAGGCTTTCACCAAAACTCTACAACACTACCGTAAAGCGTATGTCCGATACACAGCCCTTAAATCTCCTGGTCTGAGTTTTTCATTGATACTTAGCTATGTTTTGTTCTTACAGTTGTTACGACATTGATGGCTCTGCCGTGCCCAACCATTTTTTCTCCGACATATACACGCCCTGCACTTTTGTGGGCACAACTGTGAGTATCGTTTAGTAAACATGTAGACTTTTATTTTTCGTATCTCTATCTGACAAAGTCCAGTATAATCTGTACATGCTTTTGCAAAATTGCGTTTCGCCTCACCTCCATATTGTCCATGTATCCATGCAGTTTATTTGTGCAATTTTTCTTTTCCCATGTTAACTTAATAGTTGAACATTTTGCTATGGCTGTAGCATATGGATGTCATGCTTAGGCCGTTTTGGCGGAGACGTGGTTTGTACCTTTCTACGCGCAAGATTGTCGTTTTGGACAGCTTACTTACACAACTCCTCACCTCTGCGTACTCTCCTTTTTCAAAATCAACAACGCCTTCCGCTTACGTTTGGCACCCTCTCTTACAAAGCTACGTTGAGGGTACAGTTGGAGATCGCACAGAAGATACGGTCTGGTTTGCAGATGTTGACACAGTTTACGCACCGATGAACTGGGGAAAAACTCACTGGGTTGCGTTGGTGATATCCCTAACAGCAGGTCACATTGATATCTTAGATCCAGTACTCCGTTGTACACCGAGTCACAAGATATCAACTTTCATGGATCCGTTGGTTAAGGTGCTACCTTTCTTTATTAAGTCATCCTGCGACCCTTCATATACACATCTACTTCCCCAAAAAGAATTTACGTACTCTCGTTGTAAAGCAATCCCTCAGGTAACTCGGCTTGGTGACTGTGGTCCCTTCGCGATAAAGTTAATTGAGTTGCACTCCCACTTGTACTCTTTACAGGAAATAGGCACCATTTCAAAGGAGCTTGTTGACATGTTTCGTATGCAGTACGCTATTGATGTGTATGAGGAGTTTATTGGTAAGGTCGTCGCTCGGTGAATGCTCCTTTATGTGTTTTCCTTACACACTTTCAACGTTTGTTGTGTTTTTTCCATATTCATTCCCACTTGTAATATTCCACCCCTGTATTATATCCATCTCCACCTTGTTGTTGTACCCATTACACTTTCCTCCTTAACCTTGTTACTTTGTCTGTAGTCTATTTTTCTCTGTATAGTTTTCCTTTATGTCCACCTTGCATTCGTTTAGTCCACGCCTCTCATCTTATTGTACCATAAACTACTTCAGTTATGAGTATCTACACTGAATTTACTTTCTCTATTCCACTAAGTTACTTAACTGCTAATTCTTCAATTTTTCACCCTCTACCTGTATTTGTTAACCATCACGTCACATTTATTGTCCTACTTTGTTCAGTAACTAAATGCTTACACCACCCTTTTGTCTAAAATACACCTTCACAGCCTTAAACTCCAAGATATATATCTCTCTCCTTACAGGCTTTCTTTATCTACCCAATATTCAACACCTCAGCCTTCCTAGTTAAACAACTCCTCTTTCAATGGACAACCTTCTTGATGATGCTGCTGTAGAAATATATCGCCACCTCTCCCGGTCTGGTTTTTCAAACCTTGCTCCCTTATTGCTTGTCTCCAAAAAACAAAGCAGTCTTGCATTTTCCAGCGGCGTTTTACATGACATCTCTCTTCATGAGTTCTTCAATACCCCAGATCTTGTCAATGAAGAGTCTCCATTTCGTGCGTTTTTAAAAAAGTGCGTCTCTGCACAAAATCCTGTAGCCACCTACTTGGAGAGCATCCGCCTAGCTGCAAAGGATGGTGCCTTCACTGAGGCTATTAACTTGCTTTCCTCACATGCTGTGCTTTCTGATTGTGCTTTGTTCGCCAGGGGTTTGTTTTTAATATTTGCAAACTCTCCAAATGAAGGTCTTGCCGAACTCTCTACTCTGTTAAGCCGAGTTGAAACCAATGCCCGCTTACATTCCATTGGAGCTGTTGTCTACCGGCAGCTCCTTAGTTTCCGGCCTCTCAATAGGCGCATGTTTCCCAACTTACTGCTTCTTGACCAGTTACCAGGCTGCATAGGCCAGCCTTGCGCCCTACCATACCGCTGTCTCAATTGTTTTCTTTACTGGTTTATAATAGCCTTGAACAATCGCATTTAGTTTACTATTCCGAAGCTTCTACTATGACCTGCTGTTTTAACTTTCTATTAAGTTCTTTCCCATCTTCTCCCTTGTATTATAGTACGTAATCCTAAATGAAACTGTGTTATGCTTATATTTACAATAAACAAACTTTGTTATGCTTATCTTCGACACACATGCTCAAATTTATTGTCCAATTATTAATATCCACATTGAACCTAAACCTGACATATTATCCCACATTACTCCTCGTTTGTTTTCTGTCTGCTTGGGTTTATGAATCCATAATCTAGGGTATAGTTTTTGTTCTTTCATCCTACTTACGCTCCTCTGTTTTGACTACCAATGTGGATTCAGAACTGCATAAGCCCCCTTCCATTAAATTACAAATCTGTTTTCAATTGTCAATTTTTGGGTTTATGAATCCCAACCCTAGGGTATAGCAGCTCCTATGTTAAAACTCTGTGTACTACATTTATTTGCTTAAGCCTTGTTCTATTGCCAACTAAACTGCCCAACGTAGTCCACATCAACGTACACATTCATAAAAATATTATACAGTTTCATTGAATACCCATTACATAATGTTACATAACCGAATAAATACTTACTATTGCAAAATACATTCGCATAGATATCATAAAAACTTATGTTGCAAACAGTCTGACATAGCCATGTCGAGGTACTGCTTATGCTTTCTCAGCACATATGACGGACCCTCTGGGAGTACCAATAGCTTATGCAATCAAAACAAACATCATGCGCGTTGCATGCAAAGTAGATACAGTTTGGCACATCGCCGTCAGGAAACCTATAAGTTGCGTTGTAGTTTCCGGTCATAGGTGGTTCTATATCCGAAATTTGAGCCATCACTGTGTCTCCTATTTCCACAATGGAGTCCAACCATCCAAGTCGGTTAATCAAAACATACATTGACTCCATTCCCTCTTCATAATTCCCTGCACATATAGAAAATACCCCATATGCAAACATAGCATAGACAACGTATTCCTCTGCACCTTTCATTAGGTCCAAACTGTGTCTAGAAGGCCCAAGCTTCACAGCCAGTCTTAACCCCTCCACGTACTGCGCTGTAGTGTTCCCGGCTTCCAAACACCTAATTAAAAATGGCCTATAAAGTGAACCTTCGTTAGCAAGTGAACTCACAAATATGAACTCATCTAGATCAACTTCCTCCAAAACCTCTCTCTCGTAAACTGCATCTCTCCCATCTGGTCCAGCTGCAATGAATGATGCCAACTCTCGAAAGCCTTGCCTCCCCAGCCTCCGCACAATATCACTTCGTATCCCAGCAGGTATATATGCCATTATGAATTTTTTGGCTTCCTCTCTCCTCCTCTAAAACGTTCCCTTATATAGAAATTTTTATGTTACCCTCCCCCCTCTGTTTTATTGCTAAACTCTTTACCGTCTCCCTAACCATATCAATCTAATCACACTTGCATTTACTTACCATAAATAAGTACTCTTCTCTGTTGATGTGTCACCCCGAAATTTTGCCAAGAGGCATCTATAAACTTTTCCACATCCAGCCATTAAATGCAGAGTAAATGTGGATGGGATGCCAAAAAAAAATGGCCTTTCACTACGCTGAAGCAATAGGCAGTAGCTTCTCTTTCGATATTTCTCGCTGAACCTAGACGCCTGTAGCCATTCCACTTAAACCCCTGTCTCACCTACCAATCATAAATTCACTTATGCATCTATAAATACCAAACTCATCTAGGCTCTTCACACTTGTACCACAAAAAACAACTTCAACTAAACAAAACAATGGTTTTTATACCAGAAGATCTTCTTATTCACATTATTCGCCGTGTTTCTGCTGAAGGATTCCGCTTCCTTGGGCCATTCATAGCCGCTTCTAAACAAACAAATAATGCTGCCTTTTCCAAGGAAGTGTTGCTTGCTGTTGATCTCTCCGAGATCCTCTTGAATACCTCCTTGGCCAACAAAGACTCTGTCTACAGGCCATTTTTCATGAGATGTGTGGAAGCCGGAAACAGTCATGCTAACCAGCTTGAGGGCCTGCGTATCCTTTGCCAAGAAGGTCCATCCGAAGCTGCGTTTTCTATGCTCAACTTAGCCAGTCCAGCTTCTCGCTTTGCACCATTTGTGATAGGCGTATTCCGCATTTGTTCTGGAGATTTTGAAACAGGTATGGCATCCATGTTAAAGCTTTGGGATTTAGTTGGTAGTTTAGACGAAGCTGTTCAAATGGCGGACTTAGTCATCATGCAAATCGCCACAATGGGCACTGCAGAGAGTGGACTTTACAATAACACACATTCCTATCCGCTTCTTGATGTTCCTCACTGCACTTACATTACTTGTGCTGCAGACTCTGTCTGCGAGGAGTGCTTTACCTTTTGGTACTCACTCATTGTCTGTTCTATCTGTTGAAGTGCGGTTAAGCGTAATATGCAGTGTAAAATATTAAGCTTCTGTGGGCGCCGTTATGTGGTATATGCAGCCCTTATGTGGTTAACTCTTGTATGTTCTGTCACTAAGTTGGTCACTTTTATGTGGTATATTAAGCCCCTCTATCTGTATGGTTTCGGTTTCGTCGTCTAAATGACAACTACGTAGCCTTTCTAATATAAACTGTTCTATGTTATTCTAGTTTCTCTCTTTCTGCGAACTTGTCTTCTTATATGAGGTTTTCCTACATCTACTTTGGCACAGTCCTGCTTAGTCAATCTTACCTAAGAAGTGTGTCTGTTCGTCTCACCCTCCCAGTTGTATCTTATTGTTTGGTTTCCTACTTAATTTCCATATAAAGTACATTGCTATTGCAACATAAGAGACACAAACGTTTCCTGGTATTTTAACAAGGTTACATTTCCATTTAGCAACATTACATTTCTGGTTCATAGACACAGATTAATTGTTACTATATTACAGCAGTCATTCCCGGTTTCACCTTCAAAAGCACCGGTCTTGCTTACCCGCTTACTATCTAGCAGGTTGTATAAACATCAAACCCGTCACTTCATGACACCTGCAGATACCCTTCACCGCTTACTACCTTGCTTTACCGCTTACTATCTAGCAGGTTCTATATACATCAAACCCGTCACTTCATGACACCTGCAGATTCATTACTTAACTGGTAGCTGTTACCTATGTACACCAAAACCCACAGCTCTAGCACATTTCATCCAATAACTTAATATATACACCAAAAACCTTCTTATTTAACATGACACTCCTTCCATAACGCTGCAAAAACAACACTTTCGTTAGTTGGAGTCATTCTGCTTCATTTCCACCATAAACAATTCCGATATAGAGTCCACTAACCTTCAAGGCAATGGGTTTTTGCAGGTAACCCTGTTATGCCCTGTTCCCAAGCACCTTGAACATCTTTTTGGTGCAAATCTCCCCCTCTTTGGTTCCTGCACATAAATTATGCAGCTTATTTGTTAGTCATTATCTTAATTATTAGACACTTATATTTTGTTACTATCAGATTCTGTACCTGGTTCTCTCCAGCTGAAGGAATCCTTCTCTTCCTGCGTCGTCCCGGTCCATTGTTGGACTGCGGTGGCAGCATTCCCATGTTAAGACTTGCTACTCCGCTATCCACTTCCGTAACATTAGGAACTGGCATCACATTTAAGCTGTAAGCGTTGATCCAAACACCACTCTTGTATTCCTCTTCTACCAACCGTATAATTGGTACACCTCCAACTCTAGTAGCTGCCAAAGCGTGGGAACAGGGGATTCCAAGTGTGTCAAACACTTTGCAGCTGCAAGTCTTCCTTTCCAGATCAACAGTGAATGACAAGCCATTGCTGTTATTAACTTGGTAAATTGTTGTGCTTGCTGGTGAGACGCGTAACCCGGCAGAATCAGAGAGTTGTTCCATCAGCTTTTTCTCAATCTCAGGTGTGACAGGACTGGCATTGTTGTTTGCCTTCTGGCGACGACAGTAGAACCATCTCATTAGCATCATGCGGATACTCTCAAGCATCGAAACAATTGGGAACTCCAGAGCTTTTGCTAGTGCAGCGTTTAGACACTCAGCAACATTGCTGCTCATGATATTGTATCTCTTCCCTTGAAAATAAACTCGAGTCCAATGTGATATTCCTATCCCTCTGAGATAGTTTGCGCACAAAGGACTCCTCCTTTCGATTTCTTGAAACCTGTGTCTGAACTCTGCAACAGTGTATGCATAGGCTGCCTTAGACACTAGATATGGGAGCCCTTTCTGTCTCTTGAATCTGCTCTTAACATTTCTGTAGAGATGCACTGCACATGCACCGTGTTTAGCAAGAGGGTAGACT